CCCTGATAATGGTGCTGGTCAGTGTCAGGTCATAGGAAAGCAAGCAGCATAAAAGTGTGCACTTTTCCAACTTTTTCATTTGAAGCATATTTCTAGTGTAAGTGGCTTTGTTTAAATATGGCAGCAGCTTTTCTATATACCTCTTAATTAACAGTAAGAGTAGTGAGAAAACAACAGGCACGATTGTGAGAGGAAGATATAATTATAGACCGATTATAGACCGCTGAAGGTGTTTTTGTCAACGCCACTCCCAACCAAACTCTATGTCTCTAACCTGGAGCCAATCCTGCTTTGCCCACCTAAACTATGGAGCTCATCCCCCCCTCCCCCCCAGAACAGCAAGATGTAAAAGTCCTCTCTTTCTGGAAATGCGGTGGCACTACTTATATATACTGTGGACAAAAGGGAAAAAACCCCTCCATAATTTGTTTTTAAATGAGATTAAGGCAAGTATAAATATATTTGTCTCTTACCTCCTGTTTGGGTTAAATTGCACTTGTTAGACATGAAATATACAAACAACACTTGGTAAGTACAAGCTAAATTAGTGCTGTGTATTTCAAATATACTTCTTCATCAAGGTTATAAAATGTGCACAGTTTTCAGCAAAAAGCAATATGCAAGGTGCAATATTCTTCAACAATCAATAAAGCAGTGAATGTGGCATTCACTAAACATTTAGTGCAGGTGTATCCTCCTGGTGCATGCATTTTAAATTACAGTGATTGGTCTACCTGCAGTGAAGGCTTGGTGAATGTCACATTTACTGATGTATAAATATGCCCCATAGTTTGGATGAGTCATAGCCAAACGCGGGTTGTGTGTCACAGCACTTTGCACATCACCATCTCTCCTTGAGCTGCTTCCTTAATGAGCTCAGGTACTGCAAGCACTACATATTAGTGACAAAAAAGACACAGATAGCCTATTAACACTGATAACAGTAAAAAAAAGACTGGGATTTGACCAGGTCAATGCTGCAACATACACCAAAATTTTATAAATGTCAAGGCAGAGGCAGGAAATCACAAGACAGTTAAAAAACAAAGCAAAACATGCAAATACAGCAATTGTTTCTTTCAAAAATACGCTCAGCCATGTAAAAATATATTAAAACTGTTTAAACAGCTTGATAAAGTGTGAAAGACCAGGAATGTTCAAGAAAGATGAATGTATAATAAGATAATAAGATACTGTAAATTGGAGAAATATTCAGTTGCTTTGATACTTAATTTTAGTTTACCTAAAAATAAAACCATATAAGTACTGTCTGCATAAAATGTAACATGTAGGTGAAAATAACTTAAACTGCACTGCTGTTCAAATTTTAAATGTCAATAATCATAGCCAGATCCTGCACTACAAGAAACCATACCAGAATTGGATAAGAAAATAATTAATATTCCTTTAAAGAGAAATGATGTACTGTACCCAAAGCAATCAATATGAACTTAGTCTTCAACATGTACAAATCCCAGGAGCCCCGTATGCTCCTTACAAATGACAGCTGCCTCCTAACGTTTGAATTTTTCTCTAGTCTAGTCTTGGAGCTCGAAAAGTATCTGTACTTGTACTTGTACGGGGTACAGTACTTGGTATCGCTACATCCCTAGGAACAGGTATGCTGGGCATGCTGTTAGAGGAGGAGGGGACAGTCACCCGGCGGGATAAGGTATGCCGCCGGGGTCCTCTCCTGATACTGTCGGGCGTCCGGTCCATGACCGAGTGCCCGACTTTTCAGAGGGGGGTGACACCAAAATGACTGTGAGTCATTTTGGTGTCACCCCTCCAATGGTGTCACCCGGTTGCGGGCCGCACCCCCCTTGTGACGCCACTGGCCCTAACTCATAGTGGGAAATGTCTGTTTACTTAATTTGTAGTCTTGAGAATTCTGCCTGTTCACTGCCTAGACAGACTGGACAATATATCTTACTCAGTTGTAAGCAAGCAGCAGGGCTGGTGTCTTTACGGTATATAAATAAAAACTAATGTATGCATATATAACTTCTCCAAACCATTTGGCACACACAGTACTTTCACCTTATGTCATTTTTCCCCCTCAAATAGTTGTGGTGGCAATATAGCAGGTATCTGTCACATTGCATGCAGAGTATACATGCACCTATGTATAGATTAAAAAAAAAATGAACAACATATTTTGTGAAACTCCCCCAAAGCGCAAAGTCTTTAAACAAGTCAATGCCTGCCCATCTGGTCAAAATAAAATATAAATAATAACTTATAATAATTTATAAGAAGAAAAGGTGCAACCTCTTATGCTCAATTGTAAAACGTGGATCAGGACCTCATGTTAAAAAATGATTTAATGTTCTAAATTTCTGTTCAGTCTCAAAAATACACCCTACAGAACCCTAATCCTAAACAAAATGAAATCATTAATTAAGCTGCTCCAATAATTAGGGTGTTTCAATTGCATTTGTATAAAACACAGCGCTAATGAAACAATAACTATAAGTGTAATAAAAAAAATGTGACATAAAATATGTGTTATTTATATCAAAGATACTATTAAATGCATACCCTCACAGTGAAAAACACGATAAAAGTATACAGTTATGAAACATGAGAAGACATTGCTCTGAGCGACCAGAATAAATATGATAATCGAAGGGGTCCTGGGGCCGAAGCCAGCCGAAGGATCGGCCGAAGCTACGGCCAGATCCTTCGGCAGCTTTGTGAATAGACCCCTAAGTGTCCAAATTTGATTAGAAGTGTTTAAATGATCACTGAAATCATTTACAGTGCAAATGACTGACTCTATCTGGGACTAGGCTTGCAGAGTTCTATTTCCATAAAATTGGATATAATGGCCATGATTTCCTCTACCTGTGTGCTTCCCCTCCTTTAGGTAACTCACCTTGGCAGATGCGCGTTTAAAATAGAGAACACTGCTCTTGAGAAATTCTGGATGTGACGACATGCATTGGATGGGGCTCCAACATCAGCATCAGGCGTTGGAGCTAACTGTACGAGTGCAGGCTCAGCACAACCATATGCGAGTGTTCTTAATTTGATTCAAATAATATTTTAATAAAAAAAGGTTTTAAACTTTGTGGATTTGTTTCTGTTTCTTGGATTGACTTGGGGCTGGAACTCGTAGCCCTCCGCCAATCACTGGGGATCCTACCAGTCATTAAGGAGTCCTTAAAAATGAGGATTAATGGTCTAGTTATAACCTGGCTTAATTCCTTAAGTACCTTGGGGTGCAGGTTATCCGGACCCACTGCTGATGGGAGACTTGTGAGATGACCTACCAGATTTCTGGGCATTGCAGTCTAATGCATGTTTGAGGGGGGAGTACACGAGTAAAGGAAATCATGGCCACTATAGCAATGGACACTTTGTGCAGATATATTTTTTTAAGGTTTCTAATATTGGATAATGGATATTAAACTCACATGTGAAGTTGCAATTTGCATTGTTGGATGATTTCACCTATCATTTGGACACTTAGAATTATTCTAGTTTTATTTTTCACATTTAGTTTAATTCACTTATACTTATTAAGGGTGGTTAAGTTAGTGTTGTGTCAATGGAATGTTAAAGGCTGACATCTGTGGCCATGCTTTGAAGGGGATTCCAAAAACATGTCACTACTATGACATGATCATCTCATAGTCAGTTTGATTTTGGTTTTGCCTGACCTGTGCAAGGTGTGACCCACCCATCTCAAAGGAAGAATCATTTGAATGGCTCGGAATTTCCTGGATGGAAGCTATTGTTCCCCTGAGATTAGAATGGCACCAGGGATATCTAGATAGTAGATAAACATGTGTGGTCGGCCATTGCTAGGTAGCTGGATCTTCCAACAGTATCGTATCTAGGGGCACAATTAAACAACAAAAGCTCCAGTGAACTGTGTTTCTCACTGAAAGATCACTACCTACTGGTCACAATACCTCCACTGAATCTAACTTCCTGACCTGCACAGTCCTCAAAATAAAGGACAGCCCATTAAACCAGCAGCATGTTATAGAGCTTAAATTGCTAGTGTATTCCACTGTCGCAGCCAAACTGGGATAACACCTATTTTATATGTATTACATGTCCCCAATCACATTGCATAAACTAAAAAATATATTAAAAAATGCAGTTTAAATTGCTTTTACATGGGTTAGGGTTCCTTGACTTCCTAAGGGTTTACATTTCTATTTGCTTCTTCTTTTTCAATGTTAGGAATGGCTATGAGGGGGCTTCTGCATTCAAATGCTTTTGAAGTTATTGAGCGAAACACAATCCACAAATTTCAGTCCTAAGTCTTTCTATAAGGACACAGGTATCTGACACACTAGGCAGTGTTAAGTACTGCTGGTTTTAGTCGTGACTGCAACTCTGTAAGAGAGCGGAGATTGGATTGCGCAGAGTGGGTAGTGGAACAACATATAATTAATTTATTTTAACAGCCTGTCTATGTTTAAATATTCTTTTTTAGGCAACAGATCCACTTTGATAACTATATTTCTGATAAACACATTTCATTTACAGATCCTCATTAGACGTTCTTTTGGTTAATGTAACCCTTTTTTGTGGACAGTACCCTCCTTCAGTAAAATCTAAGGATATTGTAAAGCAACAACCCTTTTAACATTATTTTCATGCATTGCTATACATTTGTCTATTTTTATGTAATGCGGCTGATTTACTGAAGGAGTAAAGAATGTTTACCTAGCCTGGTGCAGCTGTGTTCACTTTGATTTCCCAATCAGGTGCAGGGAAATGAAAATAAAAACAGGATTTTGCCCTGTCGCTGTCACTCTTTCTTCTATTTTTTGCAGCTCGATCTACATAAATTGCTGAGAAGCCATTTCTTTTACAAATATACCTGTGTATACCATATGTAATAAAATGTCAGTGCAATATTGCCATCAAAGTATATACCTACATTTTAACAGCCTGTCCAAAACAGCATACATAAGAACAAAAAAAATAAAAAAATTAATTCATATTACAGTTCACTGTAACAACTTTAAAATATAATAAGTTAATATAAGATAATTTATGCCAGATAATTTAAGCCAAACAGGTATGAAAATCAGCAAACTGTTAAACACTTGTTTACAACTTAGCAGTACACTGTGTGAGATAGAGAAACCCCTATATAGGGCCTCAGAAATGCTTGTATTTTAGGCCACAGTTGTGGTGGATGAAAAAAGCAATGTTTTACTTTTATTCCTCAGGGTAGTCCAACTCCTCATTGGCAATCAGTGCCTGAAAGTCCTGCTTATGTTTCCCTTTAGTTTTAGATCTGGTGTTTGTCCGATTGCTGTCCTGTGCTTCTGCTGCTTGCTGATAGTAGTGGCCTTTTGTATCTGCATTTTCCCAGTCTTGGGATTTTTCTTCTTCTGGAGCATTAGAGTAACCATCATCGACTGAAAAAGTGTCATCAACATCATATCGCTGGTATGTGCTCTGATGGAGAACTTCTTCTCTTGCACTGATTTCCAAGGTGCTGTTCCACATTCCATAGCCAAAATATATCAGCAAACCTACAAGAACACAAAAAATAGGGATGGCTGTTACTGCAACAAGTAGATAAAGCAAAAACATTTACATTAGAGCAAGAGGTGAGTGAAATAGTTCTGGTGACAACTGACTATCATAGGAATTCCTCTCTCCCCCTCAATTCTTGTTATGTCTCATAGACAGGAAGTGAAGGAAAATCTTCCCAGCAGGACCCAGGCAGCAACAAAAAATATGAGTAGAATTTTACCTCTTCTCTACTCAAACCAAAATTTTAAAAAAGTTTTGGCTTTACATATACTGTACTTCAGGGATGCAGAAATGTTCTCCAGGTGCATATTTCATGGCACCCTTCCAGATAACATAAGCAAGTGAGTCCAATTCCAACACTATTGTTATTTTTACAATATATAACGTTTTTTCAATGATGTCTTCTCAGACAGTAATTGACCTTAGGACTTTATTATCAGTTTCCAAATGTAAAAATTAGTGAAAAAGGGAAATAATCACGTTTGTTTTCATTTTCTAACATCAATTAGAAATGAGACTACAAACCCAACTGACCACCCTTTGTTTTACATTTACACAGGTATTAAATGTGCCCCAGTGTGCAAACATAAGCTGCAGCCTTCTTATAAATGGAAGATTTGTACCCATAGGATTGGGTTGGAAATAGTTTTTGGGATCATACCCCGTTGAAGACTGCTGGATGTTTGTAAATTAATATGTATGATTGTCATATGAATAGGAGGATGTCAATTTGTCCATGAGGTATTTCTTCATCTCTTAAGTTTGTTATGCTCATAACTTATGAAATGACTGACCAACATGACCTAAAATCTACTCGAATAGAGTAAGATTTAAAAGTGGTTTGTCTGCCTTGACATTCACCTCCAGACATGTCATGCCAACCTGTCCACCATTATAGTGTTGTCTCCTTAAATTTGAAAGATGGGTAGTTAGATGAGTCTGGCATATCCCTTAACAGACATGCCTAACGGATATCACTTCAGGCCCTTATGAAGTCCTGTGATTGGACACTTTGTCTGATTAAGGAACCCTGCTAGGTTCTGAAACATTGCATTTTATGTCATGCTGAAGGAATACCAATAAAAATGATATTCTGATGCATGATGAAGGGTGGGCAGACAACATATCCCCTAAACTGTATACTATGGTGCAATCCACCAGTTGTTTAAGCACCCGTGAAACCTTTGGGTATATCAGTACAAGGTGCAAAGGAGATATCACTAAGCTGTAATTGGACGGAATGCGTCAATGTAATCTGATATGCCTCACCATCTTGACCATATGACTTGACTGACTTCATCTGGGACTTGGCTTGCAGACTTCTATTCCAAAGCAGTTGTGCTCTGACAAGCCTATTGTGCTGGTGACTCAGGATTACAATAAGCCTGTTCTAGGGTCACTTATCTCAAAACTGCCAATTATGACAGTTGTGACATCACTCTCTATGGTAACAGATAGTAAGCCAGGACTTTGAAATACTGTCCATTCCAGAATATGCTGCTGCTTTTTGAGCACCGTTGTTGTCTCCTATACATACAACAGACATTTGAAATTCACTTGGATATGTATGTGAGTTTCCACTGGATATTTTGACCTCATATATTTAAACTCAGTGACTGCTCAGCTCTGTTAATCACTGGGACTTCATTTTGTGATACAGCACTATATTTTATCTTGCAAGGTTCATTAGCAACTGTTGCTAAATATTTTTTCCAGTAGGATATTAGGAGAGATAGAAAGTGCTGGTGGGTATTTGAATTGGACAATGCTGCCCTGTTTTATGGGGAAGGAGAGGTGTATCTTTTCTACAGATTATCTACATGTGTTCTATAATTTATATTAATAAAGTAAATTTTTTTAGTCTCTCACATAACCCCACACATAAAATATCAATGACGAAATATTACATATATTTTTAATTTGGTGCAGGATTATATAACAGAAAATTCCTCTATGGTCCTCATAATGAAGCCTGTCAAAAGAAGCCTGAGCAGCCTGTCAAAACCTTTTCCCATGGCATTTCTGCTGCCTGGGCTTAGATGGCCTTGTTACAAACCCAGGCCTAACATAAGTGGCAAACACCTAATACTGGCACTCAGAAAGATTTTTCTGGGGGTTAGATACCCCTCTATCCGCTGTGCTCGCAGTGAACTTGGAAGAAGCATAGGTAGAAATTCCTAAAAAATGCTCATATACATTACTTTGTTAAATATTATAACAGTATTGCTTTTCCAGGAAATAGAAAATATAGCCACTGCTGACAACCTAACAACTGTGCTAGTGCTAGGCCTACTGGACTTTTAACAAACAATGCCTAAATAAAAATAGAACACAGCCTTCCTTTTCTGGTTGCATAAAGATTTATCCAAACAGTAATGTCATCTGGCAAAATACTTGAAACAAAAACTAAAGTAAAAGTATGCAGTTTAGAAAGATTGCAATTAAATGCTTGGGGGCCCAATAGGTCCCATAATGATTTTTCTATTGGTCCATGTTCTTTAGGGTCACACCTTTTCAGAACGCTCAGGAGACTTGATCCACAAAGAGGAACCTATAAGATTCCTACTAGACTTTAGCCTGCTAAACATTGTCACATGACAACAAATTCCTTTGCGTGTCTGGTTACTGTATGCATGTTAAATGAATGAGTCTCTGGAACATATCCAGACAATGAACTGTGAAAGTACAAGGACATATTAACCTGAAGAACCCATCCACGTCTCATTTCCCCTTCTGTGTTTTCATTTTACGTAATTGTGGTTTTTCTTACTAGAAGGGCATGTGCTTGCTTGCTGATGATAAACAGCCATCATGATATTTGGCCATATCAGGAGGATAATATGTTGATTGTAATGCTAAATTATTTTATCACTGACAGCTTCACAAATGAAATATGCATGATGAGGGGTAGATAAATCTCTTGAAGTGCAGAGAAGCCTGTGGTCTAGCAGTGGCAGGTGGTATGTGAGCAAAGTTTGCTCATAGAAATTTAATGAAGCCTGTCCGAGTCATGGTGAGCCCTGGCCTACGTAAGCCAAATTAAAATTCCAACTATCTGCTCTGGTGAGCCCTGTTTGATGAGCCCTTGGCTACAGAAGCAAGCTATCTGATAATTATATTACAGTGACTGAAAAAACAATGTATTATTTGCTTGTTACGTGTGTGTCTCTTTTCATGCAACATTATATATGCATGCTTTATTATTCACAGCTGCAAGCCAAAGTCTTAAGAAGATGAAATGCTTACAGCAGAGAGCTGCATATTTAATTGCTATCTACACCTGTGAACCTGAAATTAATACAACCAGAAGAGATGTAATAGAGACATCTGTGCCCTTTACAAGGTGTCCTCTGCTCCATGGGGTAAAAAGAACAATCACATTTAAACTTTAAAGTCTTGTTTGCTTTTAGCTTGACGTGAATTGGTACAGCAAGGTTCTGCAGGGACCCTTGATCAGGGCAACAATGTAACACCGATGTTAGGTGTTACATTGTTGCCCTGATCAAGGGTCCCTGCGTGGCCCCCGAAACATTGGTTATAGTTTGAGCATTTTAAGTCTTTGTTGTATCCCGGTTTCTGTCAACCACTGGGGTGATTCCTGTTCATTTGCTTGGTAGGCAGTAGACAAAGTGTAGCTTACAACCTCCTTACATTAATGATCAGTGGGAAAATCCCTACTTAAATTGTTGCTTATTGGTAGGAATGCCCTTTATGTTGGCGGTTAGTGGTAAGAATGCCTCAACACACTGGCCATCAGTGGTAAGAATACCCCTATTACATTGGAGGTCAGTAAAAAGAATGACCCACTATATTGGCAGTCAATGGGAAGATTACACTGGTGATCAGAGGGAAACAACCTCCTTACATTGGTGGGCAGTAGAATAGTGCCCCCCTACATAGGTGAGCAGTGGAGAAATGGACCCTTACATTGTAGGGCAGTGGAAAATGTTCTGCTTTATTTTTTTTATTTGTGCAGAGTGAGAAGTGCCCCCTAAATTGGTGGTCAGTGGAGAAGCACCCTCTTACACTGGTGGTCAGTGAGAAGAACACCCCTTTATATTTACTGTCAGTGGGGAGAATGCCCCTTACACTGACAATCAGTGACAAAAATGCCTCAGTACATTGGCAGTAAGTTGGAAGGTTGCCCTTTAGCTTGGTGGCCAGAGGGAAGAAACCCCCTTACATTGGTAATAAGTAGAGTAGTGCCCCCTTACACCAGTGAGAGGTGGTGAAATACCCTGTTTGGTGGGCAGTGGAGAAGTCTACATTTACACTGGTGGACAGATAGAGAAGAGTTCCTTGCATTGGTGGTCAGTGGAGAAGTACCACCTTACATTGTTTCTGTTTGGGAAGAATGCCCCTTACTTTGGCAGTCAGTAGTAATAAATGCTCATTACATTAGTGGCAACTGGGGAGAATTAAAGACAGCTAAAAAGATGCTTGGTGTTCGGGTCACAGAAGGAGAATATCCACTATACCTGAACTGTTGGCTCTGAAAAATGAGTAGGAACTATGTTAGAACCCACATGTGGGAGAGTAATCCACCTGAACAGTTTGCCAATCAATAATAACTCTGATGGATTCAAAACACGCCTCTAAATTTAGCAAAACATTATCCAATGTTGTTACTTAATTCTCTGTAGTGCACAAGATGGAATATTAGGAAATATGTAATTATCTTGTGTGTAAACACACACACAAACACATGCATAAAGTTCTCTGCTAGGCAAGTACTAGCATGTTATCATGTAAAACAGGGTAATACATTTAAATGCATGCTTTATCAAATTATTGAAAGCACTAAAGAACTTACCCACAAAGCACCAGACAGCAAATCGAATCCATGTGATAGAGGACAGTTTGAGCATAAGATAAATATTGACCAGCATTGCAAATGCAGGGACAAAAGGGACACACGGTGCCATGTAAGGCAACTTTTTTGGGTTCTCTGGTTGCTGAAGAATAACAAAAACCAAGACAATGATAAGCAGTACCATCAAAATGACCAAAATGACAGCCCACCATACTTGGTCATATACGTAATCTGCACCAAATATAATAAAGGAGCAAAAAATGAAACACAGGACAAACAGAAGCATGACACAGATGGTCACTGTTCGACCAGTGGCAACAGTTGGTCGATCCATTTTCCCAGGCAAGCCAAGACGAATCCTCATTGTATAATATCTTGGTCCAATAAATTTTTTCAGTTTAAAAAGATAGATATTTTCAGAACCATCAGCTTCAATTCCAGATGTCATGTCCACTGTTCCATAGTTTGGGTGGTTCATATTGTAGTTGGCCTTGTCAGATTTCCCAATCAGCATTTCATTGTCTCCAAGAGAGGGCAGGTTCTTTGCTCCACATGTGTTGGTGGCAGGACCTGAGAACTCCTCTCCATCACTCATGGGGGAACAGGCTTCCTTTTCACAGTCAGCAAGGATTCCTTCTTTCTTTTTGGTGTGTTCCTCAGACAGAAATTTTACAAAACCATCAATATCACTTTCAGGCTGGTAACGTAATAGTAGTACACACACGGAAACAAGGGTGTATGCTAAGAGAGTTCCTATAGACATCATTTCTATTAGGTCCCGAAGACTGACCAACAGAGAGAGAAGGGCTGCAAGGAATCCAGAGACAATACAAGCCACCACAGGAGTCTCTGTATAGGAGCTGACATGGGACAAAAACCTAAAATACAAAAATAAATATTTTGCATACATCTTTGAAAACATACCTTATCTTTAGACAAGTGTCAATTTGCATAACCAGTACTTACCTGAACAATAATCCATCACCAGCCATGGCATAAATGACTCTGGGCATGGGAAACAGAGACCCAAACAGGCTGACAGTAAGCCCAGCTACAGATCCAATGGCCACAATGAATTTAGCAACATAGAATCCATGGGCTACAAACATCTCCATTAGTGGTGATTCTGAATCAATCATATTGTAAGGTACCATTAATGTTAATATAACACTGACCTAAAAAACAAAAGTAAGATTGTCACTTCAAAACATAGCTTGCATAGCTAACACAGCAAATTAAAAAATGGGCGAATATATTAAGATTATATTTTGGATCTTTTACATAAAATGGATGGATGTTGGCAGCAGATTTCTTACTTTTAATAAAAACCAAAACAAAACAAAAGCTGCACCACCAGAAAATTCTCTCTGTGGTTGGTTGTACATTGAACCCTCCAGACTCATCCTCTAACATGTTTTACCTGAATAGGGTTTTAATCATACTTCATTAAAGGACAAGTAGCAGAGTCTGGAAGAGGATTGTGCTTGATGTAAAATACTGAATAAATTGCCGTTTCACCATGTCTGTTCCAGACTTAAAACAGAATGGGAGGGTCTGTGTTTATTATAGATACCTGAGCAGATCTCAGGGTTCTAGGAAAGCTGTGATATCTGCATCCCTTTAGAAGACAAGCCTATCTCACCAAAAATTACCCATTGCAGGGAATGCTTTACTGTAGACTTATGGAAAAATCAGTGAGCCAATCACAAAAGCAGAAACTGGCTTTTCTGGGGTATGTACAGAACCCCTCCAGGTTGCCATGTTGTACTGAAATTTACAGTGGCTGCAGATAGAAATTGAAAGGTAATTTTTAATAGCATTAAATTACAAAATGGGTATTGTAGTAATTATATAATATATATTATTTTTTAACAAAAGTGGAGAAGACAAAGGAAAAACTGGTGGAATACTTAGGGGTCTATTCACTAAGCTGCCGAAGGATCTAGCCGTAGCTTCGACTGATCCTTCGGCTAGCTTCGACCCCAGCACCCCTTCGGTTCAGTAGAACCGAAGGGCTGCTGTACGGGCTATTCACTAAAGCCCGTACAGCTCCTGAAGTTGGCCGAGCGGCTCAGTCAAGCCGAAGGCATATGCCGAGGTGAAAGCCAAAGCCAAAGCCATTGGCCGGCCGACAGCCTGCTTTTGACAGCTGGGCGGAGCCAGCCATCATCTCACGGCTGGCTCTGGCCACTTGCAGAGAGATCAGCGTCCCTGGTTATCAGGTAGCCAGGTACGCCATCTGTCATTACATACTGAGAACCCGGCGGGGCCGCTATGATATCACAACGCCCTCTCCGGGTTCTCAGTGTGTAATGATAGATGGTGCCCCTGGTTACCTGGTAACCAGGGACGCTGATCTGTCATTACTCTCCCGGACACTCTGGGAGTGGAAACACTTTCTCCCGGAAAGTTCTACTCTGCTCGATCGAACAGAGTAATCCTTTCTTCTCCCTCAGCCAGAAAAAAAATGCATAGCTAGATTCCTATTGGCTATTTCAGTTAGCAAACTAGCTGTTGCACCCGCCCACTGCGGCTGTCAATCAGCAGAGGGGGACCTGCAGTTCTCCATCAGGTCCCCTTCTGGTGATTGACAGCAGCAGAGGGCGGGTGCAATAGCTAGTTTGCTATTGCAAAGTGAAATAGCCAATAGGAATCTAGGAATGGTGTTTTTTTTATTTTATTCTGACGGTAGCAGAATTACCCGGCCAATAGAAAACAGTTGGGCCGAGCTAGCTTTCACTGCTACCTCAGCCCAATCGTTTGCAATTTTATTTTTTCTACTTTGTTAACAGTTTTCCTATTCTGCTCGGTACCTCAGAGGTACCGGGCAGAATAGCCGAGCCGAATGCCGCCGAGTAGCCGAATAAGCCGTACAAGCCTGAAGTGAATAGCCGAACAGCGTTCGGCTCACTTTTCTTCAGGTCGGTTATTCACTCGGCTTATTCATTGTCATCATTTTCTGCTTTTTTTTTCTTATTTTTTTTTTCCCTATATAACCCTTATATAGGAAGTATTTTTAATAAAATAGTGAACATTAAACAAAATGTTTTAAAAGCTCAATTTTTCTACTCTTAAAATCTTTAAAATATTATTCTAATTGTATATTTCTATACTTGAGGTAGACAAAAAAAAAATGCATTATATCATACAATAAAAAAAAGTTTTGAGTGACTTTGCGGACTTACAGACACATAGGCTGTGAGACAGGTAATTAGTGAAGCTGTGATAGCATATGGAATAGAGGTGTTGGGACTTTTTGCTTCCTCTCCTGTGGTAGCAATGATGTCAAAGCCAATGAAAGCATAGAAACATGTGGCTGCACCCTTTAGAACCTGCGAGTCAATAAAAAGACAATTTTTACATTCTATCAGCAGACCCAACATCCCATTATTTGTCAATGAAATAGCTAATGAATGTGTAATCATTCATTCATATGTAAACAAATATCAATTAACTTTGATAAACATATTCTTAAGGTTTAAATACTATGTTGTCTGTACTTGCCTGCCATGAAAAAATAATAGAAAGCGCTTCACAAACTGTTGGCACTATAAAAATCCTATATAATAATACAAATGGGGTTGATTTACTAGGCAGGTTGTTCACTTTGCAAGAGAACCCTTAGCTTAGTGAATGTGGTGAAACTCCACTTTGCAAACAATATCCAATCAGCTGCAAAGAAAATAAGAAAATAAATAAAAATGTTTGCTTGCACATGATTAAAAAAGTCTATTTTTCTTCAGTATATCAACCCCACCACAATTAATGTTAAAGGGCACTTTAAGATTTTCAGAATTAAGAAATAATAAACATTAGAAAAGGTGTAATGAGTCCAACTTTCCTCCACCCCAGCCCCTTCAAGATAAACCTCCACAATATACTCGAAATGATTTGCTCTCATTGCCTGTGTCATCTTCTTATTGAAGCTGCACATCTCTACTCTTAAGAGATAGCAAACTGTAAATGGTTGAGCGTAAAACATACACTTGTTTTAATCATTTTCTATTGTGTTCTGGCTTTTCGGTGGGACGACCGACATTCACCTGATCAGAGCAGTTATGGTTAGAGGTGATTTGGTTTGTAGGGCCTCCCTGACCCTAATAAACATGTCTAGACCAAGCATTTATGGATTTTCCTGTTCGATTGCTGATGTTTTCCTGTGAGATAAACTGTCACCTAAATGCTCCTCCTTCCTTCATCTACTCGCCAGACTTGCATAATCATATGAAAGTGCATGGCTAGAGCACAAAGAAAGGCTGTTCAGCAGCCAGGTTGTTTATGCATGACCAGCCACTGTCTGTAGGCACATGCAGGCAACAAGTTAAAGAATTCAGTGACCTACCAATGCTATCCGGTACAAACAACAACTGTGCTAAAATAAAAAAGCTCACTCAGATAAATTACCTTAATCTGATGTCTGTGTAATCCCTTGCAGAATAAGCACACAACTCTACAGAGAGTCAGTAGAAGTATATTTCCTGAAGCCTGTGTTGTGTGACATCCTGCATCGCCAATCGCATACACACTTCCAAGAAAAAACTGAAGCTAACTGGTGGCTTTAAGAGACTTCTTTTTCTAATTTTTAGAAAAGCTTTTCTATGTATGTGAACAACGGGAAAAATGTTTCTCCACAACCATCAGCAGGTGCATTCCAGGATCACCAGCATATTTCTGGGAGTGTTGTCTACTCATGCTGGGTTACATTTTCCAGGTAAGCTGTGCTCCCTCTATACCAGCCTGTATCAATCTTTTAACATGGAGGAACCCTTCAAATACCTTTTCGGGTTTCAGGGAACTCCTGCTAATAATGATTATATCTACAGCTCATGGTATGAACAGAAACTTGTATATAGGGGACTAAATAAAAGAATAAGACATGTAACATACGCCACATATTTCACATCTTGGGCAGCTCTGTAGCACAACATTATTACACAGGAAACAAAAGGAATAACAATAATGGCAAGAAAGGGAATTTAGACAATGAAAATTGAAAATCCGTTTGGTGGTCAGTAGATTAATGCCCACTTACACTAATAGTGGTCAGTGTGAAGAATGCCCCCTTAGATAGCTGAAAAGATCATTGGTGTCAGTGGTAGCTTATCTGAGAGGCAGCAATTGCTTAATGCTCAAGGAACTCCTAGTAACCTTTGGAAGAACCCTGGTTCAGAAAAGCTGCACTATGCAAATCAAAGTTAACAATTCAATTTAGAAGTGAACAGAAGACATACTGAACATAACTATTTAATGACTTGTTTGAAGCCCATTTCCACCTTTGTAGGGGTTCACATTTATTGTGGTAATGTAGAAGTGCAGTGATGATGTATATGTGTGTATGTTTTCATGACTCACATTGCTGGCTTTTTACATTTTTTAATGGACTTTTTCATGGGCCTGAGGCCTACAGATTCAAAATTCCCTTTAATCTGACACCAGGGTCAGATTGTCTTGTACAGGCTGTAAAGCAGCTGACCCCCCTCCCTGTGAGTCATTGTAACAAAATCACTGAACACCAGCTCTGCCTCTCCAGGTCATTATGCTCTGTTCAGGGGCTGTTGCCACTATGAATATTAATGAATGGGGGGAGAGAGCACAGAGGGAGAGCTCATTTTCCACAGACAAGCTTGTGAACAAGGGAAGCATAGCATTGTGGGAAATTAAGTTCCCACTGTTTTTTTTCCGCAGACTGCAGGGCACAGAGGCGGCCATTCCAAATGGAGCCATGAGCAGCTGAAGAGGACAGCTAACTAAAAAGGTTTTGTGTTCATATACAGCAATTGCATATGCCTGCTTCATTTTCACTTGGTGTACATTGTTGGCATGTTTTTCTTTAAATACCTACACAAAGGTGGAAATGGGCTTTAAGCCAGTTGTACTTGAGAAAATCAACATGTGTTGCAATAAAACACATTTCTGTATGTTTTCAGATATACTGCACCAATGGACAGGCTCCAGTGGGAGCATCCATACCTACATATTAACAGATAAGGATATTTAACAAGGCACCTCAATATAATGGTATTGATATACTACAGGAACAGAGGCTGTTCAATTCCTAAAGAAAATGTTCACTTTGCAAAGTAAAGGTTAATGAATACTGTATGGTAAAGCTGTTTTCACTTTGAATACCCAAATGCTAGAAAAATCCAGTTTTAGGGCTTGTTCACACCAAGTGCAGAGCAGATGCAGAGCAGAGCAGTTACAGAACGCTTCAAAACTGCATCCAATGTATTCCAATGTTATTTTGGGCTCTAGTTCACACCAGAGCGTTCAGTTCCAGAGCATGTGGAAAAACTGCAGCATGCACTATTTTTTCTGCTCTGGAACGCACCAAAATGCATGCAAACGCATCAAAAATGCATGCAAATGCCCTGGAACGCACCGAAAGACCATTTTAGGCTGAATTGTTTTTAAAAAAACGTCCCGGAACACAGCAAAAACGCGACAAAACACACTGTACTGCATGTGCAGAAACTCATGCAGATCTGGTCCGCATTTGGTGTGAACAAGCCCTTACTATTTCCATTGCAGTGGCAGTGTTCCTTTGTAGAAATCCATGAACTCGATGTAAACATCTGTTATATCTCTCTGGTTGGAACTTACATAAATAACAGAGGAAAGAAAAATGTAACAGTGTGCATATGCACTTCAATGTTTATATCATTGTGGCTAATGACATGAAACATCTTCAGTCCTTTGCCTATCAATAAATCAACATGTCACTTTATTTGTGTGCCTCTCTTTAATATGCATGTCCCTTTCTATATGAATTGATTTATGGCTGACAGTGTTTTAGAAACAGTGATAGACATTGATAAAACGTTTTCAACATGAAAAGCGGAGAATTACTGTCCTTTATTTCCTTCCAAGTGTGTGGATTTTCTTTTTAGGCTTTTTATTATTTGTAAAACACACTTACAAATTCTGATTCTACAAAGTCAATAGCCAAGTAAAAACATAACTGAATAAAGCTCAGAAAATGGCCAGTTTTTAAGAATTTCTAACATTCTCATTATTTTCTAAACATCTCTTGCAATTACTTTTGCACGATATTCTAATTATTCGAGTTTTACCTGTATATATATAATGTCTTTGAACAAAATATCAGCTAAATGAGTTAAAATTTCGTACCCCTGACCATCCGTATGGTAGAAAATTTCCTTCTGACCAGTTTTTCCCACTGACGAAGAAAAGGCCAGCAATCATGATAAACACCCACACGGCCATGTTAATCACATTCAACACATTATTAAAGCCAACGGAATTCTTTACTCCCAAGGCCACAATTATCGTCACAATTACTGCAATGACCAAAGCAAGGAGGTCTGGATAGGATTCTTCTCCTTTTCCTGTAAAAACAAGAACAGCACAAGAATAGTAATATACAGTATGTACACATTTGTTTTACACAGAATATACGGCAATACTCATTATGAAACAAGGCACTGCCGTTTGATCAGATTGTGAAGGATGGTTATGCCAGCAGCAAGTGTCTGATTATGAGTCATAAGAATGAGTAATACATTTTGGTGATTCAGGCCTCCAGATAGCTGGTAGGCTATGCTTCCCTGTAGCTCATGCATCATCTTCTGTACTAGAGCGTGCACATTTATAAACACAGACTGCAATGTCACATAAGAAATGCCAGCCCTTCTCAGCTTCTCATGTGCTTTATTGCATTCATCTGCCACTAGGTGACAGGTGACACAGCTGATGTGATGGCATGAAAGTTGAAAAACAATACATTAATCGTCTTCCAGTTACACCAACAGACTGAAAAAAAAAGGAAAATAGTGACTATATTAAGGCATATTATACTAAAACTTTATTCTTTACTGTGAAAGTATAATAAATAATGTTATAGTAACATTTTACAAACAAGCAATGCAGCCTTCAGCACCTAAATAGACATTTGGGGGTTGATTTACTAACCTTATAAACACGCCACGAACAAGTATACACCTCTGTAGTGTCTTCCCTCCCAGCATGATCTATTGGTGGAATCTAGACACCTTTGTAGTGTGTACACACCCAGCAGGTGTGTTGTGCAAAGCCCTGCATGAATTGCAAGGTGATGTTGTGTAAATTAGCTCTTTGGAGTCAGTTCCAAACTTTATCCTAAATTGGTGGTTTGGTACAGGTTTATAAAATAGACACAAGAATTAAAGTGCACCGATGCCCAGACTGTGGACCCTACTGTATTTAAATATTCTTAATGTATGTAAAGCCAGTTTTTAAATAATATTCACCCTCGCCTCTCATTCTGGTGGCAAATTTTGGATTTACCATCATTTTCTGTAAGAGTGCTCACCTAGGCAAATATAGAAGGTAAATCTATCAGGAACACAAGCAGAGGTGAATCTACCTAGTGGACAACAGATAGCAATAAAATCGAGGATTCTAATCCTTCGACATTTATCAAAACCTTAAAAAAAACACTTCAAACAGCAGTAAGAGCTTTAAAGCGACACTAAACTCAAAAATGAAATATGAAAAATAGCTTCTATTAAATAAATAATGAATGACTGTGTACCTTATTATGTCATTGTTCAGCATTAAATGCTCCAAAATCCATTTTATTTTTCTCCAGCCACAACTTCCTGCCAAAGGGTGGCTCCTTTTCTTCTCCATACTCCCTATGTGTGCTGAAAAGTAGCCACCCTCTGTGCTCGTTCATGTGAAGGACTACAACAGGCTGAGGGTGTGTCTTCTCAGTCTCCGCCCACAAGTCCTCCCTTCTAGACTCTGCAAGAAGCTTGGATTTTTTCAGCTTTCCCACACTAATATATGATCTGTGATTTCTCTCCTCCTGGCTTACCAAAGATGGAGTGTGGGGTGAGCTGCTAATGAGGAGATTCAGCATGTGAGCTGTCACTGGCCTCATACTTTCTTCTGAGTCTCAGCTCACGTCCTGAATCTGGTCACACAGTCACAGAGGATACGGCTCCTACATTTGAAATAAAGTTGTTTTACTGTGTAGATTGTTGTAACCTTGATGTTTGTTGTAGATTTGTTCTAGATGTAATTGTCTGTTGTAGATTTGTTGTAAGTAGTTTTGATAATAAAGAGCATTGCAGAGGAGTTTACAACCAGTGAAAATGTCACAGTGTGTATAGTGAGGAGAGGGAGGGGGCAGCTGTGTGCAATGAGAAATGATTCCTCTCTGCCTTATGGGAGCTGTAGGCAAAGAAAGATGTGTATGTGATTAGAATCAACATGCCTGGCTCTTTCTAAGTGGCAGGAAGTGTGAGGGGAGAGAAGAGATATGGGAGCAGGCACAGCAGAATTTCTAATGGGATTAAAATAGTAAGACTTTATTTTAAAACATAAATAAATGTGGCTTTGGAGAATGTTCATTGTGTAGATGTGTATAAGGAGAAAAAAAGCTGAGGGTTTTGTGTCACTTTAACACAAGCCCTCACTGATCTCGGTAGATGCAGATACTGTAGAGTAATACAGCCTCAAATATCACAAGAAAGGCACTAAATGATGGTTTCAGTAGGTTTCTAACAGTTTACAACATCTGGTGTTTCGTTACATTAGAAGGCTAACAGTCTTTCAAGTTTCTGCTTCCATAGAGAATAGGGTGAGGAGCCACCATTTCTTTGCCCCTTTTGTAAATATCACTAAAATATGTAGTTACAGAAGACAGTGAGGGCTTGTATTAAAGTGAATTGTCTGGGCACAGGTTCACTTTAATGTACATTTAGAATAAAAAATAAGCAATTACCTAATCCATTTAAAGTCCCAACACTCTCAATCATCCAATGGCTGATAGTATGATTGGCGAGGGAGTCAAACATGCTACTGAGTGCGCTCGCTCCAGCTGCTGTACCAATCAGATACTCCAAGATTAAATTCCACCCAATGAAGAAAGCCACAAATTCCCCAACAGTGACATAACTGTATGTATAAGCAGAACCTGTGGTTTTGGGAACACGAACTCCAAATTCAGCATAGCACACACCTGCACAAAAAAATACGAAACAGTTACAGGATTGCATTGTGAATCTTAACAGTTTTAAATCCAGTTTATTACATGGGCAGAATGATTTTTTTTTAACCATTTTAATTTTGATGTGCAGGAGCTTCATATACAGTAGTTTACACTTATTACTCTCTGTACTTTTTCAAATAACTTTATCAAAAAGTATATGAACCACATCATAATGTATTGAGACCCTTAAAGGGTTCCCATGTTTTACTGAATTACAAATTCTAATCCAAAAGTTTGTTCTCTGTGGCATTATTTTTTTTTTTAAACACTGAGCGATTTTTGTTAACACATGTGACGTCCTATTATGATCAATACATGTAATTTCCCATTAAATGTCCCATGGTCTGACATTCACTTATTTTTGCTCTTGAGCCACTCTAATTTTACTTCATCCTTTAGTTTGTGACCATCATCTTAAAAGATGAACTTAGCCTTATCCTCAGTTTTAAGCAGATTGAAAAAAAGCACAAAAAAAGACAGACAAACAAATTATTTTTGTTATTAGCAACACTCATTCTTTCTATTGATGTGGATGGTGCACTTCAGGCCCAGCTACCAAAATCTCAGCTCCCTCTCACAAGTTTTCTTCCTGCTTGCACAGAGCATTTTGCTAGACTGGGCCTTTAAATACATACACAGTATATTCCATTTTGCAAAAGTTTTTTTAATGAATTTTATTTATTAGGTTTTTTTTTCTGTTACATCCATAGAATATAACAATCAAAGCAACAAGCTTCACAAAGAACTGCCTGTATCACACACTCCTCATTTAACCAGTTGTCTCTCCCCTCCCGCCAGAATCTCGACATGAGCTCTCATGGTACCAAATAAAGTTATACTGTGCATGCAGGGAACCAAATATAGTTATGCATTCAGCAATATTGTCTCACCAAGACTAAACATCAAAAATAGGCTATACTGAATCAGGTTATATCAGGTCTACCCTCCAACCACAGACAACATATTTTGTCAGACTTGGCTGGGCATGCTCTGGAGAAAAGCATATTTTTGTATTTCTGCAGCATGTCATTAATGAGTAGGAAACTTTCAAATGTCTGGAATTGAAGAGTCCTTCCACTTTAAAAAAAAGTTCCCCATATTGGACAGTAAAAGCCTTACCAGTAACCTGAGGTATCTCCCAAGTATATGGTTTTGAACCAGGGAGAGATCATTTTAAGTTGAAAGTTGAAATGCAAACTTTTGTTACTGTGTTGCCAGTAAGGTATGATTTTAGGACAAATCCAAAGGTGTGGCCATGTTTACATCTCATCTGTTGCATTGGGCTGAGGGTCTCATCTTGTGCATTCATTAAAGGGTGTAGTATAGTCAATTAATGAAATAAAACTGGGAATGAAGATCCTTTGGAACTATTTACTGTAGTAAAGATTGTGTCTTCAACTTTCTCAAAGTCATATCTTGTGACCGATGGTATGTCTCTGGATCATTGGCCAAAAACCCTTTCAAAGGTTTGCAGTGTCTGTTTTTGGAGTAGAGACGCTTGTAATTTCAATGGTTGTGGAATTAACTGCATTTGAGCAGCATGGTGAAGCGAAAGATATCTAATATCTATAAAAACAGTGGTTGTGTAGATTATACTGTCCCTGAGCTAAAAACAAATATACCATTATCAAACAGTTGGTACACATACTTAATTCCCTGTCATTCACGCCAGAGTGCATCTGCGAATACATAAATTATTTTTAGTTAGGGATTATAATCAAAGAGCAGTATTGGGTGCGACCATTTGATCCGTCCTAACTCTCCATAGTTTTGCATTATGACAAATCAGAATACTTATATCAAGAGGGGACATTGTTCTACATTTACAAGAGAAAAGTCTCAAAGGTTGTTTTTTTTTTCTAATCCTTAATATGATCCCTGCATTGCAGCAGTTAAGACAGTTTTCAACAGCTGGATTCAGCCAGTCATTGACATATGTCAGCTGTTTTGCCCAGTGTTTGGAATAAGCATCAGGGCATCCCGCAAGACATGCAGCAGTTTTGGAAGGTAGATAATTTTAATTAGATTTATTCAGCCAACTAGCCTAAGCAGGAGAAACCGCTTTGCTATAGCTTTGTTTCCATGTTTTGTAGTATAGGAGTGAGGTTCAACTGAACAAATATGGATATGGGGGGTTGTACCATGATGCCCAAATATCTGAACCTATCAACCTACTTTTCAAGGGTGGTAAATGGGGTAACAGCTGGTTGTTTGGTTCTAAAGGGAATATTCAAGATTTTCTAAATTAGCTTTCAGTCCTCAAAATTTACTGAATTCATGTATGATGATAAGCAGCTCTGTCATCGACTGAGGTTTGCAATCCAGGTACGGTTATTATCTGACTATAGGGTGATTTTTTCTGTTAACCTGTCATGGATGGGGCCCTCAATTTTCGTAATTGGTCTACTTAGATTTGCAAATGGCTCAAAGACCAAGGCAAATAGGAACAGGGAATATTGGCAACCCTGTCTTGTTCCACATTGCAGTATTATACAAAATTAGTTTAAGTTATTGGTTCGTATTTTGGCTACCAGTTTTGTGTATAGTAGTTTGATCAATGCAATGAATTGAGACCCAAAGCTCATTTTGCTTAACACCACCCAGATAAACCCTCACTCTACAACATCAAATGCATTGTGGCTGTCAAGAGACACCACATGACTTAATTTATTAGATTGCTGTGCTCTGTGGGTATTAAGGAATAGTATTCTAATGTTCATAAATGTTTGTTTGCCAGGCATAAAGGCCATTTGGTCGGGGTATACTAATTTGGAAATGATCTAAGAAAGATGGTTAGCCAAGAGGTTCACTAGATTTTTAACGTCCCTATTGAGCAGTGGTATCAGGCGATAAGATTTGCACAGCTCTATGTTATTACCCAGTTTGGGGAGCACAATTATCAAAGATTCTCTGATTCTCAGGTAGTAAACCTTGATGTAATGTCTTCTGCAAGACCTCAATATGGGGGCAATTATGTGAGTCTTATATGAGGAAAATGTATTGATAACAGTTTTTATATCTTATATAGTATAAGGGGTTTCTACTCGAGTTGAGCCTGCTCCAAGGTTAGGAAATCAATATGGTCTAAGAAACAGGTTGGTTCTTGTGCAGTATAGACTACTTTTGAATAGAAGTCCAAAAACCATTTATTGATCTGCTCAGGCAAGTATACATATCAGTACAAGTAACTTGGATCCTATGAAATAAAATAGGTGAACATCCAGATTTTGTGAATGCGAGTAATTTTCAATTTTTCCCTTCTTGTTCAATGACTGAAACAGCTTGGTGAAATAGTTTTTTCCTAATTAATTGTACTTTCTTTTTAGATGAGGCAATATCTAGTGTGTTTTTTTTTTGGTGATGTACTGCAGTCTTGTTTCTGCCCTAGAATAATTAAGCTGGAGGTTATAAAGGCTATGGCACTGTTGTTTATAATATGTATTGATTTCTTTAACAATTACCATCTTGTAGATGCCTTGAAGGCAATTTATTCCACTGAGGCAGTGCCAGAGCCCTTGTTTAACTCCCAATATTCACATTGATCTGTACCCACTGTTCTCTTGACCTTATCTACAGAAAGCAACAAAGTGCTTAGTCTCTAACATCGCTGCACATTGTGCACAGTAATTTTTAGAGTTACTGTAGGAATCGATAAAATTTGAGGCAAACACGCAATATCATCAATATAATGTGTTTTTTGTTTAGACCCCTGATATTTCCCCAAAGGCCTCGACGATAAAGTAAAAAAAACCCCATAAAAATAAAATTACAAAATAATTTTAAAAATGTTAAAAAGGTAGTAAAAAACATAATTGACCATAAGTGACCATCATCCACACACAAAAATTAGAAACACCTTCAACAGCGACCACACATCAGAGATTGCCTCCAGACACCAATCACCTCTCAAACAACTGGATCCCTGCCTCTACAAACGGATCAACCTGAACCCACCAACTACAACAGTTAGGATTCAAAGAAAGTTGCCTCAACCTTCATCGATGACATTGCGTCACCACCAACTTCACAGTGAGTTTCTACATATCACACACGTGACCGAACTATTCATGAATTTTCACCTGTCCACCATTTTTATTCCCTACTCTGATTCCCCTCCCTAAAAGCCGGAAGGTTCAACACTCTTTGGTTCATCATTGCCATCATGCCTTTTCTCAGAACTCCAAACAAAGTCAACCCATCTGGCTCATCTACAACATGGGTCTCTACCCTTCTGCTGCCTGGTTGTGGTGCTTACTCCCATATTTTTTGTTCTTATATAATAAAAATAGACTATTAACCCCCCTCCCCCCCCACA